ATATATATATATATATATATATATATATATATAAAAACAGCAAAAGTAACTCACCCTATCTTGCTATTGCAGAACACTGTGATGTCCACATCCTTGGTTCCAGTATACACACCCCATTTAGAATAGAAGTGCACCAGAAGACATAATTCAAAGACCCACATGGTATGTGATTTCAATATATGGCAAGATGAGAAACAATGTGACAGAGATTAGAAATGACTTCAGCAGAGATTGGTGTATCAAATTGCAAGTACCTTCAAAAACCAGGTAAGATAATTCAGTAGCATTAATCGGGAACATTTTCCATAAATTTGTATTAAAAGGCTTGTCTATTACAACTGAATTGTGTGCACATTTGATCACATCATAACGAAAAACAATGATAGTAGGTAGTTTATTAAAGAAGTTTAATACAATCTCATGACAACCATCTGAGCACTAATACATAGATCTATGTAAACATCAAACTTCCCCTTATTATTCCCTGCTAATTTTAGTCCTGAGACGTTGCTCTTTCTCACAGACTTTGGGGTTCCCCCTAATGGTAGCATATTTCAGAAACCTCCATAGCCAGTTCCAGACAGTCGCTCGCATCGTGGCAGTTCCCAAACAAACCACAATCCAGTTCCACACAAGAGTCATTGTCGTCACTGTGCAAAGACTCTCCAGTGTGGTCGACATGCCTGTAGCTTGGCCAACAATGACTGGTGAGTCCCTGGCAGCAATCAGGCAGGATGGGGATCATGTCGTGAAACCGGCAGAAGAGGCAGTTCAGGACAATGTCAGCACAGTCAACTGAGGGACACAAACAGAGACAAACTGCTCATTAAACCTTGGTTTGTTCTAGTTTGTCTTTTTTTCTAGCTGTTTTCCCTGGTGTTTCTTCCATCCAGAGTATTTCCGTGTATTCATAGGTTACTCAAGGTAAAACGATTTTCCATTCTGAAATTCAAACTTTTATTTTTCCTGTTTGTACCTCGGAGTTAGGGCCACACAAGAAGAAAATAAAAACTAAATAAAATTATGAGAAAAAAATCATAAAATTACAAAAATAAACATTATGAGCATGAAATCACAGTAGTATGAGAATAAAGTCGAAATAATGTGAGTATAAAGCTGTAGTTCATGAGAATAATCATAAAATTCAGAGAATTAAGTTGAAATAATGAGAGTAAAGTCGTAGTCAGGGGGATTAAAGTTATAAATGTATTATTACTAATAATGACTCATGTTTTTCAGATTTTTTTTACAATATTTGAAACGCACATTGCTTTCTACAACAGTGCTCTTCGAGCTTTTATTCAAAGCATAAAAGTTCTTTGAGTTTTTAACGTGCTCTTCGTAAAACCTCGAAGAGCACAAATACTCGCTATGCCATGTAAATCATCTCAGCCCCCAGTTGCTGGTCTTTGCTCATGTCTTATAACAGTTTAAAAGCTCCTTTTCCTTCTTTTCCTCCTGTTCCCATGCATAATTTAGGAAATCATGCCTTCCTCTTTTATAGAGCGAGGGGCAAGAAAGCTGCTCAGAGACATCATCAATTACCAGCAGTCTGTTGTACACTTTGTCAGGAGTTTTTTCAATGTGCTTGAACTGAAACAAAGCTTTCGAGCCTCCTTTGCCAGAGGGGGCAAGCTTTAAAGCTTCCCCCCTGGGAGCTATAAAGTGTGAGATCATCAAACGCTGACCATGAGGAACCAGTGGCTCACAGAAGACAATGTCACAGGAAAATCCTCCCAACTCGTGCTGCAGAGCTTTTAGAGAGGCCTCACCTCTAAGCTGATGGTTTATTGTCTTTCTAATTGAGCTGGCTTTTAAGAACTGATTACAATCAAATTACATTTTGCAGACAATGCCTAGGCAATGTGCAGTGTTGTGCAAGTATGCTGCAATTTGCTGTTACAGCAACAATGTGTTTAATTGAGACTTCATGTTATAGATAAGCAGAGCAGAGTGTGATAGGAAAGTGTAAGGAAGATGATACATGGCTTCCATTTTTTTGGTAAATAAAAATATGAAAAACATGGCATGCTTTTGGATTGTGTTCTTCTTGAGTTGAGACCTTGTGGAAGTGCCTTTTGGTAGTTACTACTGCAGACCTTTTGGGATGTGTCTCTATCAGCGTCCTATAGACAGATATTTTATTTAACATTTTATTTTCCAATAAAGGTTAAGCTCAGGAAGAATCCTGAGCAGACAGGACTGTGTCCACAAAATGACCGGCATAGTGTCTGCCTTTATGAATATATAAAACGTCTGCTGATGCTGATGATGCTGAAGAGAATTAAATCTGAACCAGATTACAGGTGTGGTTTTTGCGTTTGTAGTTTGCACGTTTTAAAAGCAGGTGGAAACTGCTTTTGCAGAGAACACTAATTTGCAGAGTTGAATTAAATGCAACTGTTTAGAGCTTTGTTTTTGATACATTTTTTTCAATGTTCTTGTGTCATTTTGAGATACTCATTTAAATTAAATGTATTATTATACCTCCAAATCCATGCCTTCCATACCTGTCAAGTTTTGGATTTTAAAATAAGGGAAATTTTCCGCCGCCCAATGTGAGCCATCCCACCAGCCCAACCTATGTCCAGTATCCCTTGACAGATGTACAAGAAGTCTAAAATTGCTACCTGTCCACCACTTGCAAACTACAGTCACATGCTCAGAATCTGATAGGCCTGCCTTTGTTGACAGTGAAATGCTGTAATTCTTATTATAGAGCCTAGATGAAAACACACAAGTGATTACAAGCACATTTATTTACATACCCTTCAACCATATCTATGATATGATCCCTTTGAATGAAAAAGTCATTTCAGGCAGAAATTACATTTCATTGGGCAGCAAAGAGTAACCAAGATGATTTTTTGTTGCAACCTTGGCCATAAAACTATATATGCTATTGGTGTTAACATAATTTTTCTAAAAGAACTAAACAATGGACAAAGTCGTTCGAAACCACTCTCAAGACATTCAATCAGAATGTGGTCCTCGGCCACACACAATCTCACTTGATAAGTTTTTGACAGACCATCACTTTTTGGCACAACACCTGATTTGTTACCACTGTTAGCAGCTGCAGCAGCTGACACAAGGTTACCATGAAGCTAGTAACAGAATTCAGTTTGGAGAGGCACTTAAATATATGTATTTTAATTATTATAATATGAGAAATTTATGGCAAATTACTAATCGTAGAGGACAGTGGGAAAGAGATGTAAAACATGATAGTTTCCTGGCCAAAACATGGGGCTTGACAGGCATGACGCCTTCAAAACGTTTTTAGGGCCTCTTCGGTCTCCGACGCTCCATGAGGAAAACCTCGTGGAGTGTGTAAAATCCTCATTTAAATAGGGAGGTCTGCACCACTTTTGAACATGCAATCAATTGCGCTCACAATATTAGTAGATCACATGTAACGCGAGTTATTTCAAGTGAGGATTAACATGAAGCTTTCCATTAATACTTATGTAATGTTTTAGGGGCCTAAGAACGGCCTACATCCAGAGGGGCTACTACCAGTTGGTTCCTGTTAGGCTATCATAACCTCATTTGCTGGGCTGGTGTTGTAGAATAAAATTTTTGTATTTTTTTAGAATTTGGATGGATAAACTTAAAACTTTTCCACATTTTGTCATGTCACAACCAGAAACGTTTATTGGTATTTTATGTGTCTGATCTTGAAAGATTAAAAATAAAGAGTGAAATATATTGAAGCATTTTCACAGCATCGAGGGATAAACAATATATGTTATTCACTTTGCAGAAATATTAGAGTCCGGATTAACAACAGTTTATTACATTAAAGCAGAGCACTTGCTACAGAAATGTGAGTCTGTCTATCCAGAAGTTTATAAAACAAAGTCTAAGTGGAGTACAGAATGCTCTGCTTGCTGCCTTCACTCACCTCCCATGGTGCTCTTAGGAGGGGAAGTCAGATCATTTGTTGTGCCAGATGAAGGAGACAAAGATTTCCTTTGGCTCTCGTTTAGAGCGAAAAGGCCATCACCTCGCCGCTTAGGATCTCCACTGGTTTCTCCTTGTTTGTCTTCTGCAGAGGCATTCACATTTCGGAATCTTTCTGCCAAAAAAATGGGAAAAAATTATTTCTTTGTATTATTTATGGTCAGAAGTTCAGAACTCACTCCATTTACATTAGTTATGAAAGCACAACAGTACTTAAATAACTTGCATAACTCATTGTAGGCTAAAAGAAAAAACCTTAACATGTTTTATGTGAAGTACATGGTACAATTACACTTTTTTCATGAAATGAAGGAAAATATTTGGTTCTCATTATTATTTACAAATAAGTGTAGCAGCATTTTACCCAGCCCCTTTCACTTTGAAACCGCTAAATAAAATCCAGCTGTCTTAAGATATCCATTAATTCAGGGGTGTCCAAAGTGTGGGCCACAGACCATTGGTGGATTTTGGTGGCCACAAAATCCCATGTGTGAGGCACTATGATCTGAAATTCTGTGAGAATTTCAATGACAAATTTAATTCTTTAATGGAAAATTATAGGCACAAATATTTTTATTTTTATTTTAAGTAGAGTTATAAATATCCTGCAACATCCATTTACTAACCCTTGTGCATTCAGGGACTGAGGCAAACGTGGAGGACTGAGGTAAATGGTACAAGTTTTACAAGCGTGGGGTCAGTTGGATCCCATTTGTAAACACAAGGGTTAAACTTGTTTAATATAAGAAGATTTTGTTTTTAAAATAAAATTGTTGTTCTTCTTAGTGGGAATAGACAAAAGGATTTTCTAGAGTAAAAAAAACCCAGAAAAAAATTACCCACAAAGTTTGGAAACTCTGCCTTTTGACAAAACTAAAAATGCCACTTGGTTTCATTAAGAAATATTGCACATTGAATATAATGCTGGGGCTGCACAGTGACGCAGTTGGTAGAGCTGTTGCCTTGCAGCAAGAAGGCTCTGGGTTCAATTCCCAGCCCCAGTCCCTCTGCATGGAGTTTGCATGTTCTCTCCAACCCTGCAACAGATTGGCGACCCATCCAGGGTGACCCCACCCATCACCTGGAATGATAGCTGGAGATAGGCACCAGCAACCCTCCCAACCCCACCGAGGGACAAGGGTGTAAAGAAAAGGGATGGATGAATATACTGCTGAGCAGATGAAAAAAGAATCCCAAGAAAATTGTCAAGTTGGAAAAATAGAATGTCCCCTTAGTACTTTCATCTTTGGGATTCTGGCCTCTTTTGCAAAAAGTGTGAACACCACTCATCTAATTAGATCCTTAGTGTGTAATTTAGTATATGTAAAGTTTGAGATTTGTTAGAGAACATTAATGAACAAAGAACATCTTAAAGGCTAAGGAACACAGGAAACATATGACTGAAAAATAATGTACATCACCCTATGTGCAACATTTGAGAGGGAAACATGGTGGTGGCAACATCATGCTGTGGGGAGTATTGAAGGAGCTAAACGCAGAAAAAAATACGGACAAAAGGTATATGCTGAAAAAAAAAGAAACTGTGCTATATTGGCCCAGTCCAAGTCCAGGCTCAAATCCAATTGAGAATTCACCGCAAGATTTTAAATTGATCTTCTGTCCAGTCTGACTGACTTGCACCTATTTTGCAGGTACAAACCAGAAAAAAACATGAAGCTCCAACTATAAGCAATAAGCAATTAATCAATTAATTGAAAAATTAGATTAACAACTTTTTTTAATTCTGATTATCAATATGTTTTAACTAATTTTGCTTACAAAGACTTCTTAAACCATTTTATTTATTCTTTCAGTAGTGCGTGTTTTTCTTTTTTATTTCTGTTAGATTTTTGTACAGAACACTTGGCACTGGAACAGGAAGACATTTAAATATCCAAATTAAACACAACCAAAAACAATAAACATAAGTTCATTAAGCTTTAAGAGGATACACTCCCAAATATCAAAAAAGTTATATATTACCATTAGCAATGTATTACTTGAAAATGGTCTCGAAACAATATTATCACTTTGATCATGATAACATGACTTTAATAAAGGAATATGACACTAGCTTTAGCTACCGTAATAAACATCTACAGGCAGCACTCAGATATTTTTTACACACCTCAGACATGATTCTTACCTTCTCTAGCCCACGCAGGGTTGTCCTCCTTTAAGTTCGCTACTCCTTTGTCTTCCATTTCAGCTTTCAGAGTGGTTTCAGCTGCCATCTGCTCCATTGCATCACATACAAAAAAACGCACCGGGTCTGACAAACCTGATTTTCTCAAGAAATATAAACGCAGCAACTCACAACTGGAGGTCAAAGTGACTTAATGTCTACAAAAAAATTATAATAATAAAAAAAAAAGTATAGTTCCTACGTGGAGTCAGGGTGTAAACATTGTATTCTCGTCCTGGGTGTGGGAGCAGTTTGCTTTCTTCGTCAGAAGCGAGCCTCTAGGAAAAATTATCCTTTGCGTTGTAAAAGGGTCCATTTGGCCCACTGCCCACTGGTACTGTGAGCGCTTCTCTAATGTTCCAATGATGTTGGGGGAAAAAGGAATACTTCAGATCCATTCCTATCCGAACATCACGTCAGCTGCGTTTTATTAGTTTGAGTGATTTCCTACTGCGAAGTGATGATGAAGCCAAAGGCAAAAGCAAAGTAGCTCTAAATGGAAGGAAATGGTGTATTCTGCCTCTAATTCCCTTTTCAAATGCATTATTGAGCAGTTGGGACGAACCATCAAGAGCAGGGGTCCCCAAACTTTTTCCTGCGAGGGCCACATAGCTGTTCCTTTCTGTGGTCTTAGTTTTTGCAGTAAAAAAAAACAAAGAAATTCTTGTCGACGGGGGGTGTGGGGGAGAGACGACGACACTTTTGGATAGATTTTTACCCAGAATGGAAAAAACCGTGAGTGAAACGGTGACTGACGACTATATATTCCATTGAGGGAAAGTAAGTTTCACATTTGCTCAAAAGCCCCCTGGTGGTTGAAGAAAAATCCACATATAAACCGGAAAATACAATATATGAAAAAAAACACTGAATGCTCTCTGGTATGAGCAGGCGGGCCGGATCCGGCATTGTTCAGGGGGCCGGACCAAATGACGTGGCGGGCCGGATCCGGCCCGCGGGCCGTAGTTTGGGGACCCCTGATCAAGAGACTTGATTATGTTTTAGTAACACTGTGGAAGCCAGGAACACCAATTGGCATCAAAGACGAGTTTATCAGCAGAATTGAGAGCCATCTCTTTTGGCCACTTTGTGTATGTGAATGATAAAAAGTGGGATGCTTGGATTATTTGCATGAGCAAAATCCGAGGAACAGAGAGCACACACCAAAAAGCCATCTAATTTTCTCTAATTAGGTTCATCACTTGAGTTGCATTTTAATAGACGCCCCGCTGTGCTTGCATATGCTCCAAGAACAAGAGCCATGCTAATTGAAAAATGAAGATATGAGAATATTTGTTGACCAAACACCCGTTATGCTACAATCAGTGTAAGTAGAACTTTGAAGGATAAGTTACTACTCTTAGTTTTATATTGTGTTACAGCACAATACACTGATTACATTATTTTCTGTACTGTTTGTGCTTTTTTCTTTCAGTTTTGATAAAAAATCAAAAGAAGATGTGGGATGTTTTGCACCTTATTCAGAAGGTCTTTCTTTAGCAGGGTGGTTAAAGAAGATGGATGAATCATAGAAGAGAACCAGGTGAATGGCCCAATATTCCACCCAATAATAATTATTAATAATGGTGAAAAAGTACAAGTTCTACTGGAAGATTATTTCACTTATAACAAGACATTCCCTCATGTTATAGGTGAAATAATCTGCCAGTGAAACTACAATATTTTACATATATATTAAAGAGTTATTGACTTAAAACAAGCTCCTATGCGTTGCTGAAAAGTTGCTTGCAAGTTAATTTTGTTTTATTTTAAGTGCACTTAGATATTTACACTAGAGAAAGAAAACACATGCAGCTGTGACCGAAACACAGAGGCTTTACTGAAACACAGAGGGGAGCTGAATATGAAGGCACTATGTTTCTTTAAAACTTTTAAATGTTGAATACCATTTATTGGTTTCTTATTTTTTCACACAATTTGCTAGTTTGTGTTGGTCTATCACATAAAACAGAAAGAAAATCTAGTTATTCCATGATATTTCTTAGGGAGATTCAAAGCGTATAAATGCTAGTGCAGGGCTCAGTAGCTCTGCATTCCTGGAGTGTTCTGCTCATACAGGAGCCTGCCCACAGGGCCAATATAAAGATAAATTAGGGGTTTTAATTACAGTTGAACTTAAATGTGCTGAAAAAGATAACCTTAACTTTTAGACAGCCATATGCAGAATATTATTTCAGTACCAAAGAGGCACAAATAATGACAGGTTTAATTGTTGCCTGATTGCTTACCGTGAAAATAACCAATTTAAGCCACTTCACTTCATTAGAATTGTTATTCATTTTTCCTTATTGTATTGTGATAAAAATCTCCTGTTGATTTAGTATGCCCTTGTGGCAGTTTGGTTTTGTTTTAGTTAAAAGTCAGTCTGTCCTACATTGTTGTTTGAGCCTTGATGTATCTTTGTCCGTAAATTGACATGTTATTGTTTGACGGAAAAATAATCAATCAAAATGAATTGCCTTTTTGGAGGGCAACATATTAAAAAACCCACCAAACTATGCAAATACGAAATAGCTGAAATAGCGAATAGCTATTTCCAAACAGCTGACTTCTAGAGAGGAAGTCAGCTATTTTGGATTGAAGTTCTAATTTTCACGGCATTTTGGCCGTTTACAACTTCTATATTTGATCAAACTCCTCCTAGGGATTTCGATTGATCGGGTTCAAACTTGGTCAGTTTGTTCATAAGGCATGGCTGAGTCAAAGTTATCAAATCAGTGAGTTTTCGTGCATGCTGAAGGGGCATGGCCAGACCTCAAAGTTTGACATCTCGCTATGAAACACAAAACTGTTACAGTATATCCCCTACACAAAAAAGTCACTGAGACACCAAACATTCAGTAATTGATCATTACTTGTGTTCCCCTATGTATCTTCCCAGATTCCCTGTACCACCTTCTCTGGCTTTAGCTGACTCTTGGTCTAACTCCTGGTCAATTAGCTCATCAACTCTGCTCCATTGTTTCTCACCACTACTTCCCAGTATTTAACTCCCTCTTACTCTGTCACTAATTGCCAGTTCATTCTTACCTCCTATTTCTGCTCCTGTGTCCTCCTCGTGTCCCATGTTTGGTCGGTTGGTTTTTGGATTTTTGCTATCTGGACTTTGTATTTTTTGTTTTTTGTTTTATATGTGGGGTGTTTGTTCTAGATTAAATTCATCTTCATCACACTACAAGTCTCCTGCCTGCTGCTATTAGGTCCACCTTCAACTCTTCAACATCACAGTTTTGATCAGTTATTCAGTACTTGAGTAACTTTTGGGTAACACTTTATTTGAAGGGAGGTGAATAAGACTGACATGACACTGTCATGAACATGAATAAGCCTTCATGAATGCTTATGAATGTTGTCATAAAGCGTCATTTGGTAAATTATGACACTTTATGACAACACTCATAAATATTCATGAAGACTTATTCATGTTTGACATGTGTTATATCATGTTTATGAAAGTGTCATGACAGTCTTATTCAACCCCCTTCAAATAAAGTGTTACCAACTTTTGTCAAGTACGTTTTTACTCTTACTTGAGTGATTTCTTGAATGTATACTTTTTACTTTTACTGGAGTAAAAACATGCTGAAGTACTGTTATACTTACTTGAATGTTTGAACTCTAAAATGGGCAGTTATAAGCATTTTTAGAGAGATTTTCAGTATTGGTGGATTTGATTGTTTCCCTCTTAGACTTTGTTGTTGAAGTATTACTGATCTGCAACCAAATTTTGGTTTAATGACTCAATCCATTGTCTGAACCTGGCCTCACTTGATTATTACCACTGCCATTATAAAGGCATTACCATTATTGTATTTTTTTTTCTCACAATCCAATTTTAGCTGCACTGAATTAAAGTTTTTGTCCCCTGCCCGAATCACCTTGGAAAAACAGTCCAACATTTACTCAGAGCATGTGTGTGGCCCCAGCAGGTGTTTCAAGGAAAAGGTGACTGGTTTTAGTAAAATGCATTATTTTATTGAACATTCTGCCGGAACAGAGCACCCTTTTACCCCCTTAATGAGTTCCATGGAGAGTACATGTCACAGTTGGCTCCGGTGATGAGAGCACACTCCCATGTCACCTTGAGGCCAGCTGACAAAGAAAAGACAGAACTTGGTGTCATATCTGTCCTCTTGTAACAAAAAAAGGGGTTACACTGCAGCTACAGTGAAAGGTAGATGTCACAGTCCACAGATAAAGAAAACAAAGAAATACAGAATGTGATGTGAAGATGAAAATTATTAATACTATTACTAACAATAACAGTATTCGATTCTGACACTATGCCATGTGTTGCTGGAATCAGGCACAGGTTTTACTTACCTTGACACAAATAACTCATGTTGTCTCACTCAGTGCCAAACGCTCCTCAATAGAACAAAGCACTGCACTGACTGCAAAAAGGCCCGTTCAAGGAACACACTTAAACGACAGCATTTAATGACATCTAGGAAATATTAGAACTGCTGATTAAAGGCAGGAGATGGACATAAAAACTAGGTTCTGACAAACTAACAAACTACAATGAAAAATTAAATTATTATAATAAACAGAACAAATTGGGTAAGGTACCTGTGAACAATAACACATAAACAGTAACAGTATATTCATATGTGATATTACTGTAATAAATTCAGAGTCATGTTGGGTTCCAGTTTCTTTACCCACATACAGAACACCACCAGGAGAACAGATAATCAGATCAATAAAGTTTATTTTAACAATGATGAAAAGTGAGATTGTGTGAGTCTGGTCCCTTGGGTTGGCAACCGGGTCGTCTGTACGCTGAAGAGCAGTGAGAGATGGTGAGTTTGAGGTCGTCAGAAATTGGAACTTCACATCTTATTTGATGTGAAGATAGATTTCTGCAGTACAGTGGTTTCCAGGGTGTGGTCCCTTTGTGGGTGCCCTTGAAGTGGTCTGGGTTCCAGTGTGAAGTCTTGACAGAGTGAATTCTTTGTTGGTGGTGTGGAGGCTGCGGTGGAGGCCAGACAGGTAAGTTCAGGTGCGGAGGAGAAGAGGAGCAAACTGACTGTCAGCTGGGAATCCAGGAACGGTTTACTGAAGATCAGCAGGAGCGAAGGAGGTACTCGGGCAGCCAGTGGGTAACAGCCACGGCGTCATAAGGGGGGCGGGGGGAGGGGGATACAGAAAGCCAGGTCTCAGGCTTCACAGGGTAATTTCCAAGGCATCACAAGGAAAAACACCTGAGAGAGAGGCAACAAGGATACATTACTAGAAACAATATCAGAGAAAACACAGAGAGCTAGCTCAGAGGGGTGCAGAGTACCATAACTGGCAAACACTCAGGCGTTGATGTGCTGGTAGCCTGATCCTCATATACTCCAGGATGATTGTCTAATAGATCACAGGTACGCCAGCTGAGTCAGCAGGCACACCCTCCACGGTGTGCAGCCTCCAGTCACCATCTAGTGGATGAAGTTGGAAGCAGCAGGCAAACAGAGAACCCCCCCCACTCTCCCCACAAAGCAGCAACAAACCTCGGTTCCCAACATTCGGTGTCTCTTACAC